AGAAATGAAACAAGAGGGAGAGAGAAGATGGAATGAAGGGAGAAACTAGGGTTCAGGTGGTGAAATGAAGGGAGAAATTGTCAGAAGATATTTAGAGGAAAATTAACTTTTAGAAAAATAATGGGTTTAGGCAGAGATGGGTTTTAGATATGGAGGGAATAAAATTTTAGAATTGCTAAAATGAAACTTAGTCTAAAATTTTTAGAGGGAAAAATGTAAAAGAATTAGAAAATGATGAATAAAAATATTTTTTTATTTGAAGAGGTTATAAACCTCTCTTGAAAGGAATTAAAACTCCCACAAATATTGTCAGTTAGATAATTTAAATTAAACATCTTAAAGTATGTTAATTTGAGGGGGTTTTTTATAACCTCCCCAAAATAACCCCCTCTAAATAAGGTTTTTTTTGTAGTGTAAGGCTTAATAGCCTTTTTTGTCCCCAGATTTGCTTATTTTCTCAATTAGGTCTCCTTTTAAAAGTGTGTCAAATTGATCTTCATTTAAATTTTGCATCAGCGTCGTCCCTTCCGTTAATACACACAAACATCGTTAACTTTTTTTCTCTCTCCTGTACTCTTCTACAACGTAGCAGACCTCTACTCTTCCAAACAAAAGTAAATTCGTCCAATTTGACATATCTAGAATATAGTTTGATGAATCATTCATCAAATACAGCATCTTCTAAGTATTCGAAAACTGTTGTCTATGTTGGACGTGAAGGAGAAGGAATCATTGGTGTTATTGCCATAGCTGACACTATGCGTGAAGATGTTGAATCTACTGTAATGAGGTAAGTTTATTTTCCCGTATGTATCCTCAGAATATTCTACCCAACACAACTCATTATAGGAAAATAATACTAGTGCTGCTTCTGACCAAATGCGAAGTTGATTCACTTCACTTTCTTCAGAAAAAAATGGCAGTTTTATTTTTGTTCTACAAGCTTAGCTTTCTTTTCAAGCTCAATACTATCATAGCGCTACACCATTTTCTACCCCACTGTGCTGTATGCCATATACTGAATTTAATATATTTCCTGCATTCATGGAAGAAGTATTTGCCAATTCAAACCTTTATCTAGTTTTATTACTTCCATGTGTGCATTTTCCGCCTGACTTTGTTGCATTTATTGGAAGGCTGAAGCAAAAGGGGATTAAAACGGTACTCTTCTCAGGAGACAGGGAAGAGGAAGTTGCAACAGTAGAAGATACAGTTGGAATTGAAAATGATTTGGTCAAAGCATCTTTGTCTCCACAATAGAAATATAGGTTTATTTCCTCTCTAAAAGTTGCCGAAAATCATGTTGCGATGGTATGTTTAGTGATGATAGCTGTAACCAAGTTCTCTTCCCCTCTCACCTGCTCTTTCTTTGTAATTTTCTTCAATAGAGAGCTAGGGTCAAAACCAAAGGTAAATATGCACTGAGCTTATAAAATGATACTGAGGTTGGTCTTAAATTTAGCACGTATTAATATTATACGTAGTTATAGAGAAATGGATTATTTTTTTTGTTTTCAAAGTTAAGATATTTATGGTTGCTATTAATTGAAGAACATGGTATGGAACAACTCCGTACCAAAATGCTTTTTATAGCATCAGGCTACGGAATTCCTCTCAACTAATGCATTCATCTACCAACGACCAGAAAAATGACATTTTTACTCACACAGTTTTCTCTCCCTTTCTCTAAGGTAGGTGATGGGATAAATAATGCACCCTCTTTGGTTGTAGCTGATGTTGGGATTGCTCTACAGAATGAAGCTCAAGAGAATGCTGCCTCGGATGTAGCATCTATTATACTTATAGGGAACAAAATTTCACATGTTATTTTTATGCCCCAAATTTTTTGTTTCACCTATATGCAATCCCCAAGCTTTTGATCTTTTTTATTTTTGACCAAATGGATGACAGATGGTGAAATTTTGAAATATTTGAAATTTTCGTTGCTTGTGGCAATTCTTAATATTTTTATCAATGCTTTCAATTTACACGATAATACAAGTACTATGCTTAAAGCATTCTTTTGTTTGATACAACAATGATGATGGCATAATGCATCCCAAGATGTTGCTATCTTCTTGGCAGGGAGAGGGGGAGCGGGTATCTAAGTAGATGGTGAAATTTTTTAAGGTTTAATTGATTCGGAGGTCCCTATTTGTGTAGTTTTTCGTCAATTAGGTTCCTGTATTTTGAAATAACTCAATTTGGTCCTTATTCATGAAAAATTGAAGCAATACAGTCCCTACCGTTAAATTCTGTGGACAGCGTCAAAATTATTGTCTGGTGACTAGATGAGGTGGCTTTTCATTTGAAAAGTACGTGGCACGTGTCATCCCTTCCCCACCCAAAATTAGGGTTTGCCAAATTGGGGAAAAAGAACTTGCGCCGTTAGGAAGTCTCTACGTGAGAGAAGGAATTTCGCTGATGGAGATAAGGTAGTCACTCACGGTGCTTGGCTGGTTGCAGGTTTGGTTGCGCGATTCGGGTTTCTTCTTCATGGCGGCACGATTCCTGGAGGGTGGTTGTTGGGTCTCTCTGTTGTTTGGTTGTCTTCTTAGGTTTTCCTTTCTTTGCAGGTGCGAGGCAAAAGCTTGTGGTGGTGGCCTCTTGCGGATGGTGACTTAGAGTTCAAAGGGTTTCTTCGAATTGGGTCTCTATGTGTGTGATGGTTGTTTGTCCTCTGGTTTTTTTGAGTGCAGGTGGTGAGGATGGCAGCACGAAGCGTCAATGGAAGATGGCCATGACTGCGCGTGAATGAAGAAGTGGCGCTGCTCATGGTGGTGGTCTGATGCAAGCTTGGAGGATGACGAGGTGTTGTTGGCGACCTCGCGATGATGATCTACGTGAGTGAGGCTCGAAGCTCGGGCGATTTTGGGTCGTGGTGGCAGAGTGATGTGGCGGCGCTGTGGTGGTTTTGCTGGAGAAGATGAAGGTGTGAGATGGTGGTTCTGCGACGGCGGGTTGGGAGTTTATGATGCGTTGGAGAGGACGGCTGCAGGCGAGGATGGCGGTGACGGCGCTTTGGGCTGCCATGGTTGACAGATGAAGAAGCTTGTGTGTTGATGGTGATGAGCGTGGTAGTCGCAGCGACTAGGGTTTTGTTTCTGCGATTCTGTGTGTAGGTTGGGGTGGCTCTACGACGGCGGCTTGGTGGTAGTGCGGTTTGAGTGGCGGCTCTGCCACGTGCTTTTCAAATGCCACCTCACCTAGTCACCTGTCAACAATTTTGACGCCGTCTACAAAATTTAACAGCAGCGATTGTATTGCTTCAAATTTTCATGAATAGGGACCAAATTGAGTTATTTCAAAATTCAAGGACCTAATTGACACAAAACTGCACAAATAGGGACCTCCGAATCAATTAAACCATTTTTTAATACTTGAAATTTTCATCAGTTGTGGCAAGTCTAAATATTTGTTCATTCCTTTGAACTTTTGCATCATGATACAAGTGACCTACTTAAACAATCATCTGTTTCATACCACAGTGATGTATCAATTTTTTTATGAATGGAGTAATTTCTTGTGTTTTAGCCTGCTAACTTTTATTACGGAAGAGAAAAGAACAAAATAGAATGGGTTGTGGGAAAAGGATGAAAAGATGGCACTAACAAGCGTTCCAGCACAAGGATGAAAAGATAACACTTACAAAAAGAAGAGAAAAGTCTACTGCATTACAGAAAAGAAGAGGAGGGAGAAAAAAAAGTTAACGCCGTTTGTGCGTATTTAACGGAAGGGACGACGTTGACGAAAAATTTACTAAATGAAGACCAATTTGACACACTTTTAAAAGGAGGGATCTAATTGAGAAAAATAAGCAAATCTGGGGACAAAAAAGGCTATTCAGACAAAAAATAATTAAAACTGATAAGCTTGAGAGAGAAATATAACAACACCCTCTTTTTCTTGTTTGTTTGAGGTGTGGAAAATGATTAAGGAAAAGATAATTGAAACTAATATGCTTGAAGAGAGAAATACACAAACAAGATTCAAGACTTTCAATATCCTACTTACCCTTTTTCTTGGAAGGAAAAGATTAATTCTTAATCAAAGTTATTAAAGTAAATTATTGTAGTGTAGTAGTGAGGAGCAGAAATAGGCAACCTCAGTTTTGAAATGTGGAGCATTTTTAGTTGCAGTTGCAATCTCAAAGCTAGTAACTTGAATGAAGCTCTTTTCAAAAACCCATTTTCCTTCAAAACAGCGTCATTGGGAAGGAAAAGATGAGTTTTCTCACTTTTTTTGTAATTTCAAAAATCCAAACAGCAAAGAACAAAGGAGAACATTATATAAAGAAAAAAACCACAAAAATAGAAAATAAAGGGTGTTAGCGAAAACAAGAGCAAACAAGTCGTATGCTCTAAGTCAGATGTTATGCTATAAGCTATTACACTGCTGCTAAACCTAGAGATATATCAACATGAGTATGTGAACCCGAAATAGCACTATATATCAGAGACAACCAAATGCATTTTAGGGCTTCAAATTTTTTGAAGCCTGAATGAGGAAAGCAAAATAAAATTTCAAATAGGATAAATTAGGTTTTAGGAAGATGGTACCTCATGTACAAATTCCTCTTTTCCTGTGGTGGACCGTGACGTTATTGGAGCTTTGTCGCTTGCTATCCCCTTCACTGGTCCACACAACACCGTTGCAACATCGTTGACATAGAGGCGGCTCTGTTGGAAGAGGAAAGAGTGATACGTTAGAGAAAATGAGAAGAAGACTGATGTGTGAGTACATGTAATTGCATTCATGTCTTAGTTTAGGTCATTTGCATGCATAATTGCATTCATTGAAGGATTTAGTCATGGATTATCTCTGTTTCGGATCATACATTGGCATTTTGTGTTTTTATTGTAGATTGATGATTATAAGAGCCAAAATCAAAATATGGAAAGAATTAATGTACAAGATACCAAGATGAATCCAGAGAGTTCAACAACCAAGCTGTGAACAGTCTCTCAACCTGTGGAGTTACATGTGGATGTTGCTTCTAAATGGAGTTGCAAAACAGAAAGTTCAACAACTGTGCTGTGAAAGTTCCCACAATCTGTGGAGTAATCTGTGGATTCACGTAAGAAAACAGAATTAAAGCAGAGAAGAACACAGGCAGAGTGGGGAGTTTTCCATGGGCTGTGAAAGTTTCCAGGAGCAGTTATTGATCTCTTTTATGACTGATTTTAAAAGATTAAATTAAAGGAAAATTGGAGGAAGTTAGAGAAAAGGAAAACCACTCTCCTAAAAAGGAGGAATTTGTGGAAATGATGGGGGAGGAATGAAAACACGTGGAAGGGGGAGACAAAAAGGGGATTCACAGACAACAAAGGGGGCTTCTTCTTCCATTATGTAGAACTAAATTTCCTTTTGTTAGTGGATTAATTGAGTACTTTTGATTATACTTTCTGAACCTTTTCAATTGATGTTAAGTTCATTTTAATTATCCCAGTGTTCTATTTATGTTTTAATGTCTATTCTATGAGCAGTTTCATAGTTGGGAGATTGGGAATTGTTTGCGTTTATAAATAGAACAGATTAGATGCTGTCACAATTGGGAAATTGGGCCGGACTAGTTAGTTTGAATTGAGATATGATTGTTCTTTATGATCTTGTTGAATTTGTAATTGGCCTAAGGGATTGGGGATTCAAATTCAAGGGATACGTTTGCCTACTAAGGGATTAGGGGTAAACAAGCTCTAAATAAACTCAAGTGGATGATTATAATTTACACATCGATTGAAAAGGGGAGGAAATTATATGAAAAGGTATGAAATCAATTCTCTAACATGTTTTATACTATTTGAATTTCCATCACTTGTTTATGTTCATCATTCTACTTGACAATCTTTGTTGCTCAAAATTAAGTAAATTAGTAAACTAGTACTCAACTCATTCAATCCTTGAGGACGATATTTTGTTACTACAATTACGATTGGTACACTTGCCAAACGTACATCAAGGACAACGACTCTGCTGGAAGAGGAAAGAATGATACGTTGGAGGAAATGGGAAGAGGAAATGAAAGAAGGAAAAAAAGGAAGAAAGGGAATGATAAGTAGTAAGAGGGAATGAGAAAGAGTGTGAAATTTTGAGAGGGAAGAGGGAGTGGGAAATTTTGGAGACGTTAGAGGGGAAAGTTTGTAAAAAACATTAAGTATAAATTTTTTTCTGGGAAGAAATGTAAAAAATAAGAAAAATAAAGGGAAAAAGATATTATAATTTGAGGAGGTTAATAACCTCTTAAAAAAAATTAAAACCCCACTATTATTGTCATTTAGAGGATCTAACAAATTAATCCTAAATCTTGTCAATTTGTGGAAATTTTTTATAACTTCCGAAAAATAACCTCCACAAAATAACATTTTTTTGTAGTGTTGACTGTTTTTGACCTAGAATTAACATTGAGAACATCTTAAACTTCCTTTTTGTGCATAACCATAGAGGCTACGTGCTATTTGAGTTGTTTTGCATACCATGCAGATTTCACTAGTAAAAAAAATTCTTTTAACGTGCCTAATAAGTCTCGATTTTTACAAAATCGAAGTATATTAAAACGCGGTGGCATTTTTGTAATTAAGGCGAACTTATACGCCTCGGTTCACTGGGAACCGAAGCCTATGCAGTCTATTGCCTCAGTTATTTATGAAACCGAAGCATAAAGCCCTCTACAATAAGATATTATTTTGGTTTGCCTTCTAACCGAGGCTTATAGGTTATTTTGAATTTCTTTTAGCTCTTTAAGCATCGGTTAACATATGAATTGTGTTAGTAGTGTTCTTACTGCCTCGATTATTTGTTGAACTGAGGTAGTAGCTCTTTCACTAGTATTAATGAAACCTGAAAAGAGTTTACACAATTTTCTTCTTCCCCTACGACCTCCACCACCAAACGCATAGTCCTCGCGTCCTTCATTTCTCTCGCGCAAAGAAATCTCTACTTCGTAGTTTGGTTTCTCTCGTGGGTTGCTCGTTGCGTCCACCGCCGTGCCGCCACAGTTCGTCCACCACCGGCGCCTCCATTGTCTCCGGCGAAGTGCTGTCCAAGTTGGGTGACCCGTCCAATTCCCGTTGGGGTTCATCTAGGGTTTCTGACGTGTCTAGGAGAAACGGTTCCTTCGGGGCTAGGGATTCCAATTGCGAGCTTCCCCCTTCTCGCGCTGACGAGACTTATAATTGGACGGCAACAAAGAAACCTTCGGGAGGGTTTGAGAGGAAGGAGAGGGATAGAGGAGGGTTCTTCGATTCGCAGTCGCGCGTTGACGAATCGGAGTGTTGGGTTTCGAATAAGAGCTTTGTGTCGTCGGAGCGACGATTCGCCTCCAACGATGGAGGGTTTGAGAGAGAGAGAAAGAGGAATGTTATTGGGTTTGGCTCTAGCGGCGGTGCTGATTCAAATGACTAGAACAAGAAGAAGGGCGAATCCAACGTTGGTAGCGAGAGTGTTGGTGCTGGTGGAGGGAGACCAAGGCTTGTTCTGCAACCTTAGTCTTTGTCGGTGTCCAATGAACGGGGGGATGGGAATGTGGAGAAACCTAAAAGGGTTAAGGAGACAAGTGGAGGTGATGTCTTTGTGAAGAGGGGTTTTGGGTCTTCGAATGAAGGAGGACGATCCAAGATGGTTCTAAGAAGGGTGATCCAAAGAAACAGGCTTGAAAACTACTAAGGCAGTTAAGTCTGGACCTACCTTTAAGAAGAAGGCGAAGAAGATTCAAAATTCTGTAACTTTCCATAGGCCGAAGACATTGAAGAAAGACAGGAACCCTCAGTACCCTCGCATTAGTACGCCACCAAGGAACAAGCTTAATCATTATCAGATCCTGAAGTTCCCTCTTACTACTGGGTCTGCTATGAAAAAGATTGAGGACAACAACACTTTGGTTTTCATCTTCGACCTACATGCAGACAAGAAGAAGATCAAGGATGCAGTGAAGAAAATGTATGACATCTAGGCCAAGAAAGTTAACACCTTGATCAGGTAAGCATCTATGCAATGATTAATTGGTTTTGATAGTAAGAGTTTGATGACTTGCTATTGCTAATGAATTTGATAGTGTAGTGAATTTTTTATTCAACTAGTGGCATAGCATGCTGGGTTGTTTTACTACCTTTCAAAAACACTTTTATTTCAATACATTATGGCAAATATAATTCCTAGTCCTGTTTGTAGTTAGGCCTCTTTTCTGCCCTTAAGCAACTATCATGTGTCGTTCCTGTTCTCTGTTTTATGTTTTAATTACAGGTTTGGGCGTTGTTACCAGTTTGGTGCAGTGGTAACATTATTGAATTAATAATTTCATTTGTGGATTGTGGAATATTTGTACCTGTTCAATTTGTATTGCTAGTAAAGTAGGGAATTCTTTGAATTGAGAGTGTAGGATTGAGTATTCTTTATGTGTTTGAGATGCCCATTTATAGTGCACTTGTGGGAAAGTGTTTAGCTTTAGTTCACCATATAAGGAATTTCGGCTGCAATTTCTGAATTTCAACTCTGTTGCAGGCCTGATGGCGTCAAGAAGGCTTATGTCAGGTTGACCCTTGATTACGATGCATTGGATGTGGCAAACAAGATCGACATCATCTAAGTACATGGGTTTTATTAAATGTTAGGCAGTTTTATGGTGATTCTTGACGGTAACTTTTCAAAAAAGGATAGGTTCTATATTTCGAGTTTTATTATTTTGTATCTTTTGCTTCAGTTGACACTAAGTAGACACCGTGTTTCAATTTTGACTCTTAAATTGATGATTGAAATGAGCATGTTAAAATTTTATAATTTAGTGATTAGGTGACTCATTGAATGTGAGGTTAATGAGTGTCCTGGAATTGAAATAAGATGTTGAACCGACTTTCGGAGTGTGCTGGATACTAGTAAAAAATTGCATTTTTAACTCGTACATTATGCTTCGGTTTTTTCGGAACCGAAGCGTATCAGACGCGGTGGCAGGGCTGTAATTTTCAAATCATTATATGCCTCGGTTGCTAAACAACCGGTGTCTAAAAGGCATACTGACTCGGTTGGCAGAATGGACCGAGGTATATACCTCAGGTGAAAAAGTTACTGCCTCGGTTACCAGATGGACCGAGGCATATAAGGCTTGGGCTTGGACTGAAGCACTTCGAGAAAACCTAGCAGCTCTCTCTTTTTCCTTTTATTTTTCTCGCTTCTCTCTCGTTCCCTAGAAGCTCTCTCAATTTCCTTTTATTTTTCTCGCTTCTCTCTCGTTCTAATCTCCCTTCTCTCTCGTTCCAATCTCGCTTTTGCTGTTGTAAGTGTCGCTGCCGCTACCCCTCCGCTGCCCCGCCGTTGCCCCGCCACTACCTCGCCACTGTCGGGAGCCACCACCACCTCGTCCTGGGCGACGGCTCGAGTGCAGCTTCCACCTCACCTGCCATTGCGTCTATGGAGCGAAAAGCAAGCGGCCCCGCCGCTACAAGGAGCCACCACCACCTCGCCTGTGCAAGCGGCCCCGTCTTTGGAGTGAAGCGGTGGCTGTTGGCGGTGGCTGTTGGCGATTGCTGTTGGCGGTTGCTGTTGGCGGTGGCTTTTGGCGGTGAAAAATCTCAGATCTACAGATCCGATGGCTCGGCTTCCACCCCTAAAGACCCCTCCTCCATCCACAACAAGATCTAGAAGCTCACCCGCAACGTCTCCAAAGCTGATGCCTCTTCGCGGATTCGCGTCTGGGGAAGTGCCGTTCGCAACCTCACGTTGGAGCCGAGGCCAGTCGTCGGACCGCCGTTGCTCAACAAAGTCGCCGTTGTTGGCTCCATTTTACGCAGGTGAAGAAGGAGCAGAGCACGGGCTTAAGGATCTTTTTCTTTTTTGTGTTGTATGATTCTGTTATATTTATGAAAGAATCTGAATATGATTTTAGCCTCTCTGGATATTTTCCTCTCTGGTTGTGAGATTTTGCTCTCTTTTTCTGGTTGTGGTTTCATTGAGTTTGAGATTAAAAGATGCAACAGAGAAAATGATAATAAGTTAATGTGATGGAAGGTCATCGGTTAATGGAAGGTCATCGGTTAATGGAAGGTGATCTGTTAATGGAACATTGGAAAATCGAAAACCACTATACTGCCTCGGTTCAGGTCTCAAATGAGGCAGTAGAATCCAAGATATTGACTCGGTTCAGCAGAAACCGAGGCAAAATCCTATCGTTTTTCGACTCGGGTCATAACCGAGGCAAAAAGAGGTAAACTTTTTACCTCTCCTGTATATGCCTCGGTTACGAAACCGGTGTCTATAACCGAGAATAACCGAGGCCATATCCCTTGAGTGCACTAGTGGGAATTGAAAGATTTGCAAGCAGAAACTGCTGCATGATCTTAATTTATATTGGGGAGATACTGCCTCGGTAAAGTAGGAACCGAGGCGAAAAGTCCTTCGAAAAAAATACAATAAAAAAAGAAAATACCCTACTGCATCGGTTACCGGTGAACCGAGACAAAATCCTACTCCTTTTTGCCTTGCCTGTATATGCCTCGGTTCAGGAACCGCTACCTATGGACGAAAATAACCGTTGTCGTTTCCCTTGACTGCATTAGTGTTTATTCCATTAGTATACAAAGCAAGACATAGGTTTCGTGGTTCTTTCCCAGAATTAAGGTATTCATGGTTAACTTTTGCCCATTAGGGAGAATTTGTAGGGTGTCAAAGTTTTTCATTACATATTCTTTCCTCTATATTTCATCTTAAGTTTTTAGCATCTTATTCATTATGATACAAGTACCTAAATTTTGGTGTTATAGGAAAATACCATACCACTTTAATCGACACTAAATTTTTCTTATAGCGCAATGTCATACATTTGGGACATTTATCTAATGGTGCATATTCATTTTGAAAAAGAATGATATCATTTGGACAAGCATGAATCTTCTTGTAGCTTATCCCAGTAGAGCTTAACATTTTTCTAGCCATATATATTTGACTAGGAAGCAAATTTTCTTCTGGTAGCATATCTTTTATAAGTGATAGTAATTTAGTAAAGCTTTTATGAGACCATTTATTTCCTTCTTTCAAATTGAATAATTTTTACACTGCTGATAGTCTTGTGAAAATAGTACAACCATTATACAATGTTGTCTTTGCATCCGTTGTCAACCTATTAAACATCTAAGGACAATCTTGCATATCCTCTTCGATAACGTTTGCAATCTCCTAAACTTGGTCTAACTAATATGTTGTTGTGTGAGTCTCTTTTAGTGTATAACTTTTACTATCATAAAAATCATGATCTATATGATTTTTTCTATTTTCACCATGTTTGGTGTAACATGAATAACCTTTATCAATTTCGTTCGATACTAAATGCTCTTCTAACTCATTTGAGTTCACTACCTTTGAATGACAACACTTCAAACAACAACAATAATTTTACTAGGTTTGCATACTCAATTGAAAATCTATATGAAACTCTTTCACTCAATCCTCGTATTCTTTTAATAATCGAGTAGCAAACATCCATTTTTAATTTATATTTTCTTGATCTATCATATCATGATTAGTTAACAATATAATCTTAGTTATATACATATGTCAAGATACAATATAATAATAACAATATAATATTATTATTATTATTATACTATGAAAAAGTTATTAATAAATTGTATATGAAAAAGAAATCATTATTCAAACACACTGAATGCATGTTTTTCCTCATTCACAAGTTCATTATCAATAAAGCAAACATGTTATTGAAAAGTATTTCTGAATTGATTATATCATTAACAGAAAATACATTTTATATCAATCATTGCATTAACTGATTAAAAATAGTTTATTTATATATTCAGTTTAGAAAATTATCACCCTCTTTATTCACAATGAAAGAAACACTTTCCACCTGTTTATTACAACAATCTATGATATCGAAGATTATATAGAAATCCTTTTAGAAGTAAGTGTTTTACACACGTTTTCCTATTTTTACACGTTAAAAAAAACAAAAGGAAAGTGCTAATATATATATATATATATATATATATTATTTTGAGCCTCTCTTTCCCTCTTTTTTAATTTTTACCACTAAACTATACTTTATAACTCCTGTCTTAATAATATATATTAATATTTTAATTAATATATTCAGTTTTTAATTGGTTGGTTTTTTATTTGTAACTTTCAAATATCAATTTTGTTAGTTGGACCACCTCACGTGCAAAAAGAGTTATTCCACGTTTTTTCCCCCTTAGAGAGGAAAAACAGTTGTTTCTATCACTTAAAATGGATACGCAATGTCTTTTTCCTTTGCTTGGCTCACAATGTTTTCTTTCCCACATCGCTACCTCGCATGCCAACCAAAAGAAAAACCTGCGCAGGTCACATTTTTCGTGCAATGATCTATCATTTATTTCACATAAATTCAATCTTTGAAATTATTACTGGTGTTGAAAAAT